TAAACCAAACCGGTAGCTCTGAATCCATGTGAACAAGGAAGGACGGTTGTGTTCGGGTACTTCGTGCGAGACTATCTGCCCGTGAGTTCAGTGTTCTGTGTACATAGATGATGTTGGAGCTGCTAAAACTTTCTTGAAGCGTCTTGATATCTTGGAGATAACTTGCAAAAGCTGGCCATTCTTCTGGTTCCGAAACCATCTTCACCAATTGAGAACAATCCGTTGCAAACGTTACATGATATTGACGTAAGTTTCGCATACTCTCCATCGCCCAAATGAGGGCCTCCACTTCGGAATGAAGAGGTGAAATGCTAGCTCTAACATTCCTTGCCCCCATTAAGACAATGAAACCCTCAAGCGTACTATACCAACCTTGTCCATCAAACTGATCATTTGATTTCCATGAACCATCCACAAAACACCATCTCCTTGGAATGATTGGTAAAGTGACATCTGACGATTGTTGAAATGCACTCTGTTCCGCTTTTACTTGTGCCTCCTTCCACAGAGTTGATTCTGTTTCTGCCAACATAAGTGTATCTCTTGGATCAATATCCAAATTACTAAATATTTTGCTATTATGTGCTTTCCAAATGTACCACAAAATCCACGCAAATTGATGATCTTCCATCCTTGGGTTTACTCGCCAAAATAAGTAATCCATATTAGAAAATAACGAGCCTGTAGGAAACCTGTCCGGATGGGAAGGAACTTTTGAGAGTGCCCAGATTTGGCGGGCTGGAGAACAATCGAAAACACATGGTTTATCGTTTCCTCTGCAGCTCCACATCTGTCACACACAATATCTCCTTTTATCCCTCTTGCCTTTAAATTTTTCGTTACTACCACGCAGCCGGATAATAATTGCCACAAAAAATGTTTAGGGGGACACCGAAGTTTCCAACAAAAAGATTTCAATACATCCACTATAGGTCCATAAAACTCATTCGGACGTCCTTTACCCGGGTATACCCTTTCTATTTGATATCCTGACTGAACCGTATATTTTCCATTCTTTGTAAAATGCCAGCCGTCTTTATCCTCCAATTGTGTCTTGCTGAGAGGTATTTCCTCTATTATTTTTGCATCTTGAAGATCAACAAGAGCCCGTATAACCGGCATATTCCAACTTCGCGTATTTGCATCGATGAAATAATCCACTGTTATATCCGTAAGAAAATTAATTTGATTTTTATTTGCTGGTCTCGGGCGAGTGGATGGCGGCCAGGGATCATTCCATACAGATATGGACGATCCCAACCCCACCCGTTTAATAAGTCATTTGCTAACCAGAGATCTAGCAGAGATCATACTTCTCCATCCATATGATGGGGAATATGATCGGATCGGTTCCAAAGGTGAAGCATTCCTATAGTACCGACCCTTAAAAACACGAGAAAACAAAGTATTTGGTTTCTCAATAAGGCGACATAATTGTTTACCCAACATTGACGTATTAAAATCCTCAAGATCCTTAAAACCTAAGCCACCAATCTCCTTATCTAGGCATAATTTATCCCGTGATTTCCAATACAGTCCTCTTGTACTACCCCCAGGACTCCACCAGAATTGGGCTACCGCACCCGTAAGCTTCTTTATAGTAGTCTTAGGTAACCTATAACATGACATCACATGATTTGGTAAAGCGGTGACGACAGATTTAATGATCACTTCTTTTCCCCCTTTGTAAAAAAATCTGAATGTCCAGCCATTAACCCTCTTATTCAATCTATCCTGCACAAATCCAAAAACCTGAATCTTCGACCCACCTAAACTCTCGGGGAGACCCAGATATGATCCCATGCCACCAAGATTTTGAATTCCAAAAATATCTCTCAACTCCTGTCTATTTTGTTCTCCAATCTTATGCCCGAACTGAATAGAAGATTTCTGGAAGTTAATCAATTGGCCCGAGACTGCCTCATACTCCTTAAGAATATTGAGAATTATTTGACATTCCTCCGGTTTTGCCTTACAAAAAAAAAACTATCATCCGCAAAAAGAAGGTGGGAAATAGTCGGACTTTCTCTTGCCACCTTCATCCCTGTTAGTCGTTTCATTCGCTCTGCCTTTTTAATGTTCGCTATCAAGGCCTCCGTACAGAGAATAAATAAATACGGAGATAAAGGGTCCTCTTGTCTTAATCCTCTCTGCGGGGTAATACTACCTCATGGATCACCATTAATCAAAACCCGATACTGGACAGAGGATATGCATTCCATCATAAGCTTTGTCCAACGGGAAGCAAAACCCATTTTTTGAAGTAGAGCTTGAATAAAACCCCATTCCACTCTGTCATACGCTTTACTCATATTTGTTTTTATGGCCATAAACTTCCCCTGACAAGATTTATTAGTCCTCAACACATGAAACATTTCCTGGGCAATTAATATATTATCTGAAATTAAACGCCCTGGAACAAAAGCCGATTGTGTTTCCGAAATTAACCGGGGCAAAAGCTCTTGAGTCGTTGACATAGCACCTTTGAGATAATCTTATATCCAACATTATAGAGGCTTATCGGTCTAAGCTCTGTCATCCTTGTGGGCCTTTCTGTTTTAGGAATCATACATATATGAGTTTCATTTAACTGAGCGTCCAATACGCCTGTAACCAAAAAACTATTCACCATTTCCACCAAATCTGCCTTAATTATGTGCCAAGAGTGCTGGAAGAAAAGAGCTGTCATCCCATCAGGTCCTGGTGCTTTCTCTGGATGCATCAGGAAAAGAGCTTGCCTGACCTCTTCTTCCGTCGCCAACCTTAGCTATCTATTATTTATCTGCGTTGTGATATTTGATGGGATATCCTCCAGGAAATTATCAAACTCCGATGGGGAGGTTGAAGAGAATAAATCCTCAAAATAATTCACTGCTACTTTCTCCACCCCCGTCTCCTCCGTGATCCAGTTATCTGCTTCATCATGTAAACCCACTATTCTGTTACGCACTCGCCTTTGTTTCGTCAAGGCATGATAAAATTTTGTATTCAAATCCCCAGACGAATACCACATATCCTGCTTTTTTGATACCAGTATTCTTCTTCATCTTTATATGCATCATGTAGCTTCCTAGACACCTCCAAAATATCCTCCTGGGTCCTATTATTATCCATTTGCACCTCTTCTAATGCCCGTTGGAGATCTTGAATTTTGTCTTTCCCATATGGGAGATTTTTTTTCCTCCATTTTTCTATCTCATGCCGGCAATTACTAATTTTTGTAACCAAACTACCTGCCAAGCCACCAGTGAGTTCGTTCCAGCCTGCAACTATTGAATCCATCAACCCATCCTGGCCAATCCATATCTTATCAAATCGAAAACACCCTCTTCTTCTTTTTTGGACTTTATCGTCCATATAGGCCACCACTGGCCGATGGTCCGATCCCACCATCCCCATATACTCTGTATGAGAGCAAGGAAATGCATTATGCCATCCTTCATTTGCTAATGCACGGTCTAACCGGCAACGTATCATCACCGCTCCTTTCCCTTTCCCTCGGCGCCCTTGCCAGGACATTTTATTTCCTCGAGTCGGGAATTCCAGTAATCCACTATTGTGGATCATATTGTTGAAATGAACAAAAGAATTCAAACTTCTTAAAGCACCTCCTTCCTTCTCGTGATTTCCTGTAATCTCGTTTAAATCCCCAATAATAAACCAAGGATCCAATCTCGCAATACCATATCTGGTCAAATGTTCCCATACTTGTTCCCGTAAATCTTGAACTGGTTCCCCGTAAACGAAAGTGAGAAAAAAAATTTCCCCATTGCGACCGCTTCCACATCCTATTTACTTGAATGTAAAATATTCACATCATACTCAGTGTTGTAAAACAGAGCTAAGCCACCACTCCTTCCCACCGGATTCACCATAACCAGTTTATCATATCCGAAATGAGCTTGGAATCCTTGTACAAACATAAACTCTTGTTTAGTTTATGATAAGAACAGAAAATCTGGTTTATGCTTATGCCATATTTCCCTTAGATAACTAATTGTCCATTTTCTTCTCATTCCTCTACAATTCCAACTTAATACTTTCATTAAAAAACTATGCTGGAGCTCATAGGAGCCAAGGAAAAACGGGTGTAAGGAAGCCCAACATTTGATATCGGATTCATCCAAATTAATCCATACCTAGTTACATAACCAGAGCTCACCAAAGAAAACCTCCATATATCATAAGAGCCCCCTGTTCCTTTATTACGCAAATATTGTGAACCCCCGAACATATAAGCACCATTATTTCGTTTTCCATCAATAGTATAATTGATAAAGATGTTGCAAATAATTGGTGTCATCCGACTTGGCTGTTTTGGATTGTTTCGACGCCACATATGCCGTTGTTCATATCCTAATGCCCGTACGTCATAGTATCTTAACCAAATCAAAAGTCACGATAAATCCGGTTAACATAACCATATTTTGCATCCTCATACAAAAATGAATGTGATATAGAGTACACATAGTACAAAACCATAGCCAAATAATTATTATCAACCTATCACTTAGTGAAACCATGGATGGTCCATATAGAGATCGCACCTATGTGTGTCATATTTGAAACCTTGGATACCAATACCACACCTCGATGACAACAAAAGAGTTACTTGTCAACCAATTTTGAAGACAAAAAAACCCCATTCAACAGCTGGTAATGGTTTAAAGAGACCATATACCTTCCTTGTGTCTGTCGTACCAATTCCGTAACTCCTAAAACCACCTCCCCGGCAGTGCTTCGTGAACCGAAAGAAACATTAAGATCCCATAACTTCCATATATTCTCCTGATGTCTGTTTGTAGCAAACGTAAGTATAATACCATAAATACACCCAAAAAAAACTCCCAAGAACCACATACACCAGTGTAACCATTCAATAACACCAATCTTATTCCATAACTCCAGCTTATAAAAGAAAACATCAACAAAGAAAAAAACATGACAAGCGATTGCCATACCAAACTGAACCTCAAAACAAAAACACATGCTTCTAGAGCTTATTGCAACCATAAAAAAACATAAAACCATCTTCCATCCCCACGATGTAGTGCTTTTCTTCCACATTCAACAGACCCATAGAACTTAAAACTTCTGATGACCAGCCTTCGGGATTGAGAGTCCCTTGTCGTCCTTGATGGTGTCGCCCTGTTTGCTCCTCCTTTAGCCGTAGTCTTTTTCCGTGGAGAAAGTAGTGCTACTGCAGACCTCATCTTATTGCTCCCTAAAGTGTTGCTCTGAGGTTTAGCAGTCCTCTTACGCAAACCTTTATTTTTCTCCTGCTCTCCTCCCACAGTATCCTTCGCCTCCCCTGCATCCCTTTGTTCCTCAGCCTCCACACAATCCTCTCCTTCCTCCATTGCTTCCTCCTCATGCTGTTTTAGCATTTCCTCAAAATTCTCCTCTGGATTCTCCTTCAAAAAATCCTCAGAATCCATATCAATTCCATTTTCTAACAAACATGCTCTAATCTCATCCATATCCATCGCATCCTCTTTTCCCAAAATATTTTTATTTTCCATCATATTGGTCACTGCTTCTAAACCTTGTACCTCATCAAATGGATCCGAAATGACCTGCGATCCTTGAGCTTGTTTGTTTTGGAGCGCCATCTGGAACTCCAAAGAGGGTTGAAAGTTCTCTGCATCACCTTTTATCTCCCCCTCCTCCGGAACCTCGCCCTGCAAATCTTTACAAACCCCCTCGTGGCCTCTTGTTGTTTGTGTGTGGTACGTCCCACGTTGAGACCGACCATCCTTATCATCCTCCCTTGACTCCTCTCGCCTTGAGTATCTGGACCTCGAATCTTCCCCCTCCCCTTTGTGACTGCCACGATGGTGTACATGACTCCTAGACCCCTTCTCAGCTACCTTCCTCCATCTAGTGTCTGTTTCATCAAACATCTTTCCCTTGCCTTTACCGTAATACTCTCTACTCTCCTTGGCTTTGTTATACTGGTTACCATGTCCATTCAAAACAACCCCTTTGTAGCTTTGAGCCCGATCTTCATGCTTCCCCTAATCATAGCGTCCAGAGCCCCCAGAGCCTCCATTTGGAACTTCCCTTCGCATAGGGCTCATCAGTGAGCTCCTCTTGATCAAATGACACACCTTCTTTTTGTGACAAAGGCTGAAACAGTGAAGGAAGTACCCAAATAATTTCTCATAGCACAGAGAAACTGGTGCTTCCTCGTCATCATAAAATTCCCTGCCCTTAAAATCCACTGTAGTTTCAAAACAAACTTCCTTGAAACCATCCACCACCACCTGGATACGTTTGTTCTCCAAGTCCACATTGATCGTCCTACCAATCGCATTTCCAATGCTTTCATAAATCCGGATTTTCCTAAAATCCATTGGAACCCCCACCACTTTGATCCAAAACGGGATCTCTGATGGAAAACGCTGAGGCTTCTTTGGTTGCCACCGAGCCAAAGCAAGCATCCAATAATCGAAGTGATACGGTTGAAGGCTTAGAACCGCTTCAATGTCTTCCTCCTTTTGGAAATCAAATTGAAATATACCCATTCCAAGGTCTGATCCCACAACCCGGTCCTCCAGCTTCCAAATCTTTGGAAGATTCATGAGAAGAGCCGGCATGTCTTGTTCCGCAAGATTCATACATCTACCAATCTGTGTCCTTGAGTAGGCTTTGATGACAGCCGAGTTATCAAAATGTGGTACCGTGATCCTGAGACGTTTCCTTGCTCCCTCACTGTTCTTCCCATCACCAGAACTCCCAACCATCTGACTTTGCGTCATAGTCAACCAAAAGCGAGAATGTCTTGTTACTAGAAAGAGATAAGCTGAAGCGAAGAAGAAAATGATACAAAGCTTCGACACCCTCCTGCAGCTTTTATACTCCCCTCCTAAATATTCTCCATTCAAGCCAAGATCGCCATAACTGATACACTCAATCTTCGTATCAACCTTCAAGCTGTACACTGAAATTCCAGAATATTCCCATTTAAAAACCCAAGCTCTATGAATCCTCCAGTCTTTCCTTGTTCGACTTTGCGAATCAATCCCTAAAATTCCCACTTTAATTGAGCAAAGTAAGATACCTATCCATCTGTATGATTGGGTCTTGATGATGACCAGAATCGGGTTATTTTGTAGATCTCCAAATCCGCAGGATTGTCCACCAGATTTCCCAGAATAATTGCAATAACTTCGAATCGCAACCCCCTTGTGTATCTCCTCAGATCCTGCTGTGAATCTCCTATTACCAAAACTCGTGACCATTCCTTCCGAAACCTGTGTCGTAACAGATCCCACCTCCACCGATTTTTCCAGATTCCCTCGTAACCCATAAATCTGAAAGATTGCGAAATCATACCACCATGAAATCCCCGTCTGTGAGCCCGGATCCCATCGTCGAACAATCATCCAAAACCTAGAGAAAAATTGCCATCGCTGTCGTCTTTGGTCAGACACTATGTATTCTTTTCCTTTTCAGTTTTAAATTAGATGTTCGATTATTTGGAATTTTTTGTTAGTAATATCAGTTCAAACTAACTCAGCGGGTCTAAAAATTAAAAACCCAAACCAAAAGCTGAAAATCAAAAATAGAAAGTTAAAAACTAAAACCAAAAACCAAAATCTAAAAGAAAAAACTGAAACTAAAAACTAATGAAAAACAATCATCACCACAAATTTTGGTGAACTGATTTTATACCAAAAAATTCTTTAAATTAAGATAAAACCCAATTATATAAATCTTTAATCATAAAAAATTTCCGCGGTTGAAAAGCGCGGATCAAAATCTAGTATATACTAAATCTCATGGAAATATATTCCTTTATTATTACCATGTATATATATGATAAAAGGATTAAGGACATTTATCAAACATAAGGTAAAGTAGGAGGGTTATCAATACATCCAGATTCTAATTCATTAATCGAAACCGATCTATCACGGTATCGTCTTTTATATTAGAATCTAAAACATTAATATGAACTTGAACTTTATATTAAACCAATAGATACATAGGTCACATAGAATATACAATGTTCTTACATTTGACCCCAGTTAAAATGAACTTCCGATCCGCCACTGTCGTGGATGCGACAGCACTGAAGAAGAAACGCACCGGCAGTGGTTCTGTGACTGGCGGTGAACGCTTGCATCTTCAAATTCAGCCACATAGAGGAAGATTTTATACGTGTTATCCACCAATGTTTATCTCTTGTTTTATCTGCAGAATTTATTACGTGATGAACTTATACTTGAACTCCTGTATTTTAGTCTATTGGGCTTTATGAATGCAATGAAATGTCGGAAAAAAATTATTGGTTTTTTGTGGTATGTTTTATAAATTACACAGTATACAAATGTTGTTCTATATAATATTCATGTTTTAATAAGATAGATTAATAAATGATGTATTGTGGTATAGTTGAAAATTCAAAATAATCACATGATTTTGTATTAGATATTCTCGTGTAAGCTATATAAATATCTCTAAAATTAAATTTATTATGTGTATGTCTCACGTTAATTCTTATAATGATTAATTGCAATGATAATTTTACTGAATTAATTTAGTTATTGATATGTCATTATTAATATTTTTATTTATTTTTTTGTTAATATTTGTTTTCAAATCATCTTATTATCATTAGTCAAAACAGCACAAAATCTTGTTTTGACTAAAAAAAGTTTACTTTTTCTTTAGTAATTAGGTGTTTTGTCCGCATTTGTGGGTCTAATTTTCTTTTAATTATTTTATCAATTCATCTGTTACTAATGGAGATTATAATGATAAAGTATTATTTGTGTTTTATTTAAAAAAACCAACAATATTTATATTATCATTCAAAAAATTTTACATAAATTTTTTTATAAATTATGTTCACTATTAAAAATAAATCTTAAAATCAAATAATATTTTTTTCAATTATATAAAATTAAGAAGTGTACTTGATTAATATTTAGTTATGTATTTTCTATTGCTTTATTTTTTAATTTTTTCATTAAAATATATTTTCAGATAACAACACAATATATATCAAAATTATCTTATTTAAGAACATATTATTTATATTTTGGATAATTTTTATGATTACTAATAATTTTAATTACTTATATAATCAAAATAGTTTAAATTCGTTTTTATGTTATATGTAATTTAAATATTTTATTCATTAAGGGTATAAACGATATTAACTACTCTAATTTTTAAGGTGAGAGCTCCGTTGCGAACAATCACTTCGCAAATAGTAGTATAGAATATATAAAAAAATTTATAATATGAAAAATGTTCAAAATTACCTAAAATTATGGATAAATTTACAAATAATCAAAATTAACTAAAGTTATGGAGAAGTTGACAACTAAGCATATTTATTTCTTAAATAATAGTGTAGATATACAATAAATTATGCATTAATTATTAAAACATGGTAAATAAGAAATATTACATAAAATCACTGAGAAATTGACAAATCATAAAATTTATTTACTAAACTCACATATCAGAAATATTTAGACGATATATTTACAAAAATAATTTTGCTTGATTTATATTTTGTTATAATTTGATATTATAGTTTATAAATTTTATAATAAAAATATATTTTAAATATAACAACATAAAGAATAAGCATAATCTTATTTTCTTTTAAAAAAAATAATTAGACAGAATCGTGTTAATTAGATAATTAATTATATAAAATATTTATAATATGAAAAATAATCAAAATTACCAAAAGTTATGAAGAAATTGACAAATAAGCAAAATTATCTACAGTTATTGAGAAGTTGACAACTAAGCAAATTTACTTCTCAAATAATAGTATAGATTCATTGTATTAAACAAAAAATAAAATTTTTTTCAGTTAAAACAAGATTTTGTGCTGTTTTGATTAGTGACTGTTTTTTTAATACAGAATATAATAAGCATCTATTTCATCAGTTTTCATGGACTAATGACTAACTCAAATTGGTTTCCAATTGGGGAAGATAAATGGATGAATCAGTTTAAAATCTTGTTCAGTTATATAAGAAACTAAGTTTTATATAAACTAATGGTTTTCCCGCGCTACGCCCGGGTTTTCTTATATGAATTTTAATTTAATTTAATTTATTATATTAATTTTGAATATATATAATACCTATATATCGATTTTGAAAAATATAAATCATAAAATGAAGTTTAAATTATGAAATTATAAACGAACTAATATTGACAATAGATGTTATATGTTTCTGTTTTAATTATGCTAAAATTTTAAATAAATTTACATGATATTTGATCAAAAACTGTAATGTCTAGATGGGATTACTTAGTTATTGTTTGATGAACTACTTTTGACAAACTGATGTATTTAATAATGTCTTTGTATAGGTTATTGTTTTATTCTTCAAATTTCTAACAATGTCTATTATAGTATTTTTTATAAAATTTTGTTTTTAGGTTGAAGCGGGTAATATTTTTTTCCAATTTATTGAACAAAAAGCTGTAAAATATCATACCTGATAATTTAAATTTATATCACTTTATATTTCTTAGTTTTTTTAAAAATTTTAAAATTTTTTTGAAAAAAAATAATTTTATATTTATTTTTGCCAACAATCATATATTAAATTTGGTAATATAATCATTCATATAATGCTTCTACACTGAGTCTATAATACTTGATAGTTTTAAGCTCATATACTGAAATTTTTGTAAGCTTATACGCATTACAGATGCTTACATGACATTTTGATAATTAATACAATTTTGATTCTTGAATAATTATAGTAAACATGTGATAACATTTGGTGGGGATTATTGATTCCACTATTTTAATGGATTTAGAAAAACATTTAAATTTAGAAATCTTTGATTTATGATTTAAAATCGAGCAAATAGATTTAAGAATCAAAGATATTGATTTCAAGATGAAAATAGCTTTTTACGAAAATCAAGGATATCCAAAGCTTAATAAATCATATGATTTTACAATCGAGCAAATAGAATTAAGAATCAAGAATGTTGATTTCAAAATGATTTTAATTTTCTTTTCATTTTTTTTTTACTTTCGGTTTTAGAATTGTTGTGTAATTCATTTTTTCCTCGTTTTGGTTTGACTCTTGTTGAAGCTTTTTCTTTTCTTTTAAACTCTCATTTTACGAAAATCTTTTGAAAATCAAGGATGTTGATTTCAAAATGAAAATAGATCTAAGAATCAAAAATATTGATTTCAATTATACCACTTTGGTGGTACCACTTTTCATGTTTACCATCAACAAAGGAACATTTTCAAAAATACACATTTTATTAAAGGAAAAAAGATTCTTATATCCTTGTTTTTTATTTATATACATAAAATAAATATTAAATAAAATATTAACCCTAAACCCTAAAACATCAATTCTAAACTCTAGGCCCTAAAAGTAAACCCTAAACCCTAAAATATCAATTCTAAACCTTAAACCCTAAACCCTAAACCCTAAAAAGTAAACCCTAAACCCTAAAAAATCAACACTAAACCCTAAACTATCGATCCTAAACCGAAAACCCTAAACCTTAAATTCTAATAGTATTTTGACTATTAAAATTTTAATGGTAAAGTTGGTTAGTGTAAAGTTAAAAAGTGGTATCTTGAAAATGTTATTTCTGGCAATTTCCCATCTTTATTTAGATATTTCATATTTAGAGATATGAAAGTTGTCATCCATCTTGAAGAAAATGTTGAAAGTGAGAATTCTTTTTTTTTTTTTAATTACTAGACTAAAAATATTTATTAAAAATCATATCATTTTTAAAAATCAATAAAAATTCAAATAAAATAAAATATGTTTATATTTGGACCTAAAACACTTTCAACAAATGATAGAATGACAAGTATCATCTTTTGCCTCTATGAAGAGAAAAAACTCTACTTTATTATATAAGAGATGTATAAATATTTATTTTAGAAAAACTTTAGAAATATTTTATAAATAATAAATCATATATCACCATTACAATTTAAATGCATATATAATATTAATAAAAATAAACTAAATACAATTACATTGTAAAAAATCACATTTCATTTGGTCATAAACAAAAATATATATTAAAACTATTTGTAAATTTTCGTTAAAGTAGAAAATTAAAAAAAAAATAATGAAATAGAAAAAAATTTATTAGCATTTATTGGTTCATTAAGTAAACTAAAATTTGTTAAATTTAATAAATATAAAAATATCATTAAAAGAAGGTGACACATGGCATTTTTCCCCCAAGGAGTGAAAAAAAACCAACTTTATTATATAAGATTTATTGGTTCATTAAGTAAACTAAAATTTGTTAAATTTAATAAATATAAAAATATCATTAAAAAAAGGTGACACATGGCATTTTTCCCCCAAGGAGTGAAAAAAAAGCCAACTTTATTATATAAGACTAGGGGTTTGTCCGTGCTTCACGCGGAAATATTTATATGTTTAGTTTAAAATTTGAATTGTTATATAGTTTAGATGTTTATATTAGTTTTTAATAATATTTATTTAAAATTATTTTAATACAATAATTTGAAAACATGATTTAGCTTTTACTATATAATTGAAATCATTTGATATATGTAATACCAATTTTTATGCATATAAGGAAAATATTCATAAAAATGAGGATATTCGTTCTGAGATCAGTGGCATTGTGTTTGATATCTTCTATTTCAGCAGATCCTTTCAATTTTGTTCTTTTGATTATGTTCCTCGTTTGTGTAATGTTAAAGAGGATTCGGTGGCTAAGTCAGATTTAGCTCTTGCTTTATGTAACTCTAATGTTGAAGACTAAACAATTTTAAGTTAAATGAATATTATTTGATCCAAAAAATTTGACGATATTTTGATTTTATCTCACTTTAGTACATTGATCTAGGATGCTCGTAAAATAACTAAATTTGAAGCTTTCCATAATTAATCGCTATATAGTCTCATTCCTTCACAGATAAATAAAATATCAATTTATTTGTGTGGTGCCTTTTATAGTAGTGATCTTTTTCCAAGTGTTTGGTTTCTCTTTTCTTGAAAGCCTTTTTAGTATTTTCTGTTAGTTTCTATTCAGTTACACTCAATTTTTGGTTCGATAAAAGTAGCTTAACCTCATGTTTGTAATCTTGTCCATGCGAGTTTATATCTCATTTCTTCTCATTTCTAGATTCATACGCAAGTTCTCTACTGTCTCTTAATGATTTGGCATTGCAGAATTTATGTATGTCACTATATTACCTTTCTTCTCCAACAATCTTTTTGCTTCTGTGTGATCTTCCATTAGCTTATTAAGTGTTGCCTCACGTTATTTATTATCGTATGACTAACTTGAGTTAACTCTTTTTTTTTAAGCATAATAACTGATACCGAGTTAACATATTTTTTAGGGAAAATTGCCAAAAAGGGATGAAATAACCATACTATTGTCCCTTTAGAACATAATTCAGAATTCTTGTCCCTATAGTATAAACTATAATGAATATCCCCTTTTGTCCCTTTCTTTTCCATTTTGTTAATAGTTTAATTTATAAATAAATGTAAAAACATTTTTAAGTAAAAAAATGTAAGTTAACAAAATAAGTAACAAAAAGTAACCCTCCGATAACAAAAGAAGAGCAGTTAACCCCATAACCCTCAGCTCTCGCGACTCCTTTTCTCTCTCGGAGAAGAAAGAGGTGATTTGCTTCTCGCCGAGAGTCTTTCACCGGAGAGCTCGAAATAGTCCTCACATCTCTCCGTCGTCCTCCTTTCTTCTTTACTTTCGGCCGATTGTACTCATCTTTGTAAATCCCGGCGATCGATATCGGAGTTCCTTAACCTCCGAAGTGGCTTCTTCTCTCCGAGATCGCACGATTTGCTTCTCATTGTCCCTCTTTTGCTCTTCCTTCATCACTGTTCCCAAAATTCGAAGGTTAGGGTTTTGAAATTTCCTTTATGGATCTGTTTTTTTTTTGGTTTTGTTTATGTGCATGTCGGAGAAATATATGGAATTGCTTAAAAACTTTGGTTTTGTTGAAATCCCCTCTATCTGATTTTTGTTTCTCCGTTCCAAAGCTTTGGTTGTTTAGTTGATTATGAGTTATATTTAGTTTGATATTGTATTGTATTATGGTTTGAATTCGGAATAGACTTGAAAGGCTAATAATTTTGACATGTAAAACCGGTCCATTTTACATGTTGTCTGGGATCGAACCAGTAACAAACATTGGTTGTTGAGTTGATTTTGACTTATACTTTGTCACTTATCGGTTTTTAGTATTACGTTTTGATTTCGTAATAGACTTGAAAAGGCTAATGAGTTTGATATGTTTATACTTTTTGATTCTTCTGTTTGCAATTACATAAGTAAAGTATAACATTTTACTTATGTTTTGACACTTGTAGGAATGGCTTACCAGTTTCCAAAACTGATTTGTGAAGACGGAGCTGAGCTCCGAATTGATAAGATCAACAATACATGTAGACGTACGATGCTTGCATTGTTGAAGGATTTTCTTAAGGATGAGTATGAAGAAGTTTTGAAAGACCCTGTCTTCGGTCCGATTCTGGCAATTGTAGACAACAAACTCATTTACTCAGGGAAGATCATTCACAGCTTTATATGCAAGNAAGCGCTGAAGCAAAATAGCAATATCAACATATACATGATAAGGGACGAGCTACTTAAGGTGTGTAACAAGTGGTCATATGTGGACAGGGTGAGGTTAGTGTATCTGTGCCTCATACATGGGTTCATCGTGGCTAAGGATCCGAAAGTGTATATTCCTCAAGAATACATCCGTTTGGTGATGGATTTTGAGAAAATGAGAATGTTTCCGTGGGGTCTTCGCGCTTATGACGAGCTGCTTGCTTCCATATTAAAGGCAAGGACCGATTTACATCTGAAGAACAGCTACGTTTTGGATGGATTCTCATATGCGTTTCAGATATGGATCATGGAGGCAGTCCCAGACATTGGTACTATGGTGGCTAAGAAGTCAAAAAAAAACATTGTCAAGGTGAGGTGTAGAAATTGGGCAGGAAGTGGAAAAGTATCTTATCAAGATATCATCAGCCTAGAATCCCACTTTGACAAGGTAATTATCTTGCTACTATTAATAGTGAGATCAAAATTGTCTTTGTGGTGTTGATTGTTTTGTTTTTTCATGGCAGGGAGAGTTGTTTCCATTTATATCATCAAGTGGGAAGTTGGGTGTGATTGATGATCCTGAGTTCAAAAGAGAAGATGAGAAGAAGGACGAAAGAGTTGATATGATTGTTGATATGATCAAATCCAATCATGACTGGAGGGAATTCGTTTGGGAAGTTGAGTCTCTGCCAACAAACAATCTATTTTCTGACGAAGAAGAAGACGATGTTGAAGATGAAGATGTCACGGAGCCGCCTATTGTTGCAGAGAAGCCGACAGCTGCTGTCAAGAGCGCGAAGCGTAAGCGCCATGACCCTGGTGTGGAGTCTCGGAAGAGAGAACTTCTATGTCAACGAGCAGCTGAACATAAGAGTGGTGTCTCCGGTGAAATGAAGACCTTTATTCAGGGGTTGTTCACCTCTTTTAAGGACATGGTGCAGAAGGAGATGCAAGAGCGTTTTGATAAGGTCGATACTGAGGTGGCTAATATCAAAGAAACAATGTCTCAGTTTAAGGCTCCTTCAGATGTACTCGGGAAAACCACAGCAGCTGAGATCCCGACACCTTCAAGACCAATTGGAAAAGATCAAGACAACTCTTCACAGAGTCCGGGTCCTTCATCTACACTAATGCAAGATCAAGCTAAGTCATCACAGACTCCACGTCCTTCAGCAGGAAAAGGAAGAGCCAATGTGAGTGTGGATCCAAGTGCGGTTCGTCGTAGTCCTCGGACAGTGAGAAAGGTAACAACAACATGAAGCTATGTGAGATTATGTGTGGGTTGAGTATTATAAGTACTTTTGATAAGGTCGCTATCTTTTGTTGTAAGTTTTTGTGCCGTTTGTAATGTACTTGGTAGGTTATCGGCTTGTAAGTTTGTGTGTGGTTTGTAATATATTTGGAGTGTAGCTTATCGCAAACTTATGTATTATAAGAATGTTTACTTATTTTAGTATTAATGCTATGGTTGGTTGTATACTTGTATTAACA